AAATATGGGCTAAGCCCAAAATACAAATGAGAAATAATAACAAACTAACTAAAAGATAAAAGATATAATATATCTAACACTCCCCCTCAAGCTGGAGCATACAAATTGTATGAACTAAGCTTGGAATAGATGAACTCAGTGTTGAACTAGATGATTTGTCTTCAAGAGTGTGAGGCAAACATAAATGGACTAACAACAGCTTGTGAAACTTCAACTTCAAAAGTGGATGAAGGAGAGCAGTGGTGGACAATGACAAACTGCAAGGACTGATTCCCAATCAATGATGGATGAGTGACGGGATCAACAGTAGTAGCTGAAAGCTAAGAGCTACAAAACTGCAGGGACTACACTAAATCCTCATCAATGATGGTTGGGTGACGGGATCAACAGTAGTAGCTGAAATCTACAAAACTGCAAGGACTACACCCATATATATGTGACTTGCAGTGTCTTGGAAACGTACTCCCCCTTAGTGTGAAGGGCAGAAATGTGGAATATCACAGTTGCTGGACCACTAAAACAAAACAAAATATTAAGCTACAATGCTGAAACAAAGGCATCAAAGATTCAAAGATATGTTGGAGGTCCAAAATTCTTTGTTGGACAACTCCCAAGTGGTGATACTTAGCAGTGTATCGCAAGAAGATCGGGCTAAACTCTAGCCCAAGAAGAACTGATGCAGTTTCGTCTGTCTGAGGCGGTAGCGACTGCAGCGGCGGTTGATAGCTATAAAACTGTAGGGACTAAATTGCCATCACTGACTGATGGGGCCTGTAGTGGCTGGAAGCGACAAAACTACAGGGACTGTCATCACTAACTGACGAGGTGATGGGGCCTACAGTGGTTGGAAGCATACAGCGGCAAACGGCCGGACAGCGGCAAACGACAGGACAACGGCAAACGACCGGACATCAAAGGGACTTAGGGTTCCAAAAACGTGAGGGAGAAAACCCTAGGTATGAGCCCAAGCCAACAAAACGGAGAAACAGGAATCAAAACACACTCAAGAAGCTCCGGCGAGACGATCTGCAGTAACGCGGTGAAACTCCAACACCGGGAAGGCGGCGCGTGCAGAACACGCGGCCGAGACTGGCCGAGAAGAAGCGGCGCGTGGAGGCGTGTGGTGAGGAGTCTGGTCATCACTCCGGCGGGGTTGGCCGTCGCTCGAGGAGACGCTTCAGATCCGCTGGCCACCGATCGAAACCGTGACGGCGACCGGCGGTGGCGACGGTGGCCGGAGTTAGCAGCGACGGCAGTGGCACACTGGGTCTGGACTGGTGCTGACTGTGGCAGAGATTTAAGAAGAAAAAATGGACTGCCCACTGAGATTTTAGGGGCTGCCGGCGGCCATGGCGGCTGGCCGCCAGCAGAGACCACCAGAAGAGGATCAGAGAACTTGCTCTGATACCATGTTGAATATAGTGAAAAACTATATTTGGATTAATCTCCCTTGTGTTGAATACACACATAGGGTTCTCTATTTATAATAGAAAAAATATGGGCTAAGCCCAAAATACAAATGAGAAATAATAACAAACTAACTAAAAGATAAAAGATATAATATATCTAACAAAAGACGTTAACATAAATCATGGGCCTAATCTTTTAACATTAATGAAAACATAAATAATAGTTAATTCATAGATAAAAACCTTGGAGGAATAACTATCAAGTGTCCAAAAGCCTCTTGGTTCACCTCTTTTATATTTCTCATCTCCATCTCCCATTTTTGTGGGTGTATTGTTGTACGTGCCCTCCACATTAGACGTTTTAGATTTGTTCCAAGGTATTTCTTCCTGAAGTTGGCATACAAGTTCCTTACACAAACTCTCTAATCAACTCTAAGATGTGTATAACTGCTAATAAACCTTGTCATTCACAACATTAAGTAAGTTGCTGTCAGTTTTGACAGTATACATGTTCAAACCATGTAACGTGCACAACTTAGAGGTTGTAGATGAGATTTACCTTTTGTTAAACTGTTATAAATGTAATTGAAGAACAAACTAGAGCCCTACTAAGATCTTCAGTCAAAAGCTCTAAAAACCACCTCCAAGTGCCCTTGTTCTTCACCTCCACCATAACATATGCAACGAACTTTGGTCACTAGCATCTCGACCAACAACACTTAACAACTTCCCACCATATTTGCCTTTCAAAAAAGCTTCATCGAGGTCAATTATTGACTTGCATGACACAAAACTATCTTTGCATTCCTTGAGACATCCATATAACCTCTTGAAAATTGGTTTCCCATCATTCTCGTCAACTTTCACCTTCACTGTTGACCCTGGTTTCGAGTTAACAACTCATGGGCATAATCACATATCCTTTTACACGACATTTTTAATGAGCCATCAACCTTGTTTGAAGCAAGGGATTTCGCCCTGTAAGCCATATACCTAGATATATCAATGTTTCATTTCCTACTAATTTTCTCTCGAATTTCAACTCCCTTAACTTTAGGATTTCTCTCATTGTTTTCTCCAACTTTTTGCTCAAGCACTTCACATTAAGTAAGTGAAGGTTGTGCTCTCTACTGCATGTGTGGTTGTCTACAACAATCCTCAGCTGCCACGTATCGACTGCCTCTATATAAGCACAATATGCCATCTAGGGGCGTTGTCCTTTTGCACCCACACATATCAACCTCATTCTTCTCTTATAATTTTTAACAAATTTTAAATTTCTGCCATTTTCTAATGAATAGGTTTTTATTACATCCAAGAAATCTTATTTTTCACCAAAAATATGTTCTCAGTTCCCATTTAAAATTAACCATACTTTTCAACATAGAAAAGGTCATGAACTTCCCATAACCCTCTACCTCATTATTTTCTTCATCACTATGTGTTGCACTAATTAATTCTTCAAATTGCCATTCATTACCTGACAAACCTCTCTCATTACCACAACTTATATCGTCATCATCAAAATTGCTATCAGACATATCACTCCATGATGACCCTTCATATTCATGTGAAAGACTTTCCACTTTAATGTGCAAACTACCAGAATAATATCATTCTCTTAAGTCACACTCAACATTTATGTCAACTAGCCTCTCCATAGTATCACTATTTACATCAACATTACCATCATCACCATATCACCTAACGTACTCCAACCGCGAACATCAACTTCTTCCTATACAATTGAGGTAGGTTCATATTCATGTCATCCCTCTCTTGTGTTCAACACCATCTCCTTCGTAGTGAGGGACCTCGCCATATGTTTCAATATCACCTTTAAGACTCTCATCACATTCACCCTTGTCTTCTGACACACCAACATCTACCTCACAATTAACCACCTCTGTTTTAGTCTCACGTTCAACATCACATCACATTCAACTGTCCCTTGTGACACACCAACATCTTGTTCACACTAAGCCACCTCAGCCTGTATTTCAGTTTGACCTTCAACATCAACATGACATTGACCCCTTTCTTATGTCATACCACCATCTTCACATTCACCATCACCTACACGTACACCTTCACCACTCTCATGCAACACAAGTGCAACTTCTTCTTTAGTTATTTCATCACCAACATATTCTAGCATGTGTATCACCTAAGATTCAGACACTGTGTGAACCACAAATAAATGAACCTAACCATTTAAGCTATATAAGTTGACCATGTGCATGGCTCCAGTGTCATCACACAAAGGCTTCAACCTGTCATCGACCACAAAACCTCCTCCTACACAATACTACAACTCTTTGAATCCAACATACCTCAACCTTCTCACTAAACTTTACTACAACAAAGAACTCCAAAGGTTTGGGTCAAAACTTAAGGTATCAATTTACCTTTCATACTTCAGTCTGCCATCGTTTAAGAACTTTTCCCCATGATAGATAACTACCTCAAAATCCTCCTCCATCACACCCAACACAATATAAATATTTCTACACATATAGAATAATAATATACCAACTAAAAACAACACCTATTAAACGCAGAATGCACTGAAAATGACACACCAAAAAGAACTTTAAAAGTGGGCCGCAACACAATAAACTTAGAAAGGCATGTCAACATTGTGGGACAACCGCAATATTCATCTTTGGAAAGACAAAAGTCATACGACTACAAAAATCATTGATGAATAAATTGAAACCCAATACAACATTTACTCATCTCTGACACAATTCACCTCAAACTACCTCGCGATTGACCTACAACCATCTCGTGATTCCGAGCAACAACGTCCAAAAGATGAGGTTAAACACCTATATCTCTTCACTGAATCATAATTTCCTTCAATCATCCGTAATTTCACTCTATCAAACCTCAATGTGGATGATAGACCCCTACAGTGCATAAGTGAACCCTAATTTTACAAAATACAAATTCACTCAAAACATTCCCAATTTGATTTTAATTAAATTTCACTAAACTTTTAATGTTTAAAATGTCAAAATCCATATCATTACCCTACATCAATGTGCTAAATTTGTCACGTCTTTTAATTAATCCATGTCATTGACATTTAACATCATTCAACCAATTTAATAATAAAGGTTCAATTGCATTAATTTTTCATAAATAAGAACCCAATTAGAAAAAAAAATAAGAAACTAATTTAAGACAAGCCACCATGAATATTTAACCAAATATAATAAGAAACTTCTAAATTGAATTTCAAGTAAATAAATAATTTTATTAGAAATAAAAAATAAGAGCATGATTGTATCCGTAACGAAATTCTTCTGATCTACAATATATAATAAATTAAAATAAATTTTACAAGCAGACTGTTAAGGTTAGCTCTAGCCCTATGTTCCGCACTGTACAGAAGATTCTGCTGCACGCGTTTAGAAGTAGCCACGTCTATTGAGCAGCAGCAACTCAATTCAGGTATTGAACATCACCAACATTAAAATTCTATGGCGTGTCCCGTCTCCAAGGTGTGATTATAAATTTCATGGGGGATAAAAGTTTATCTCTTATGCCGCCTTATGTCAAATACATCTCGACACCAGCTATAGCCATTCTAGAACAAGAAATTTTTCAAAATATTTTCAGAACCTGTTTTCTTTCCCTCCTGGTCTTCTCCAGAAGAAATGTTGGATCATTATTCCCAATTCCAGAAAGGATGAATTGCAACCCATACGGTCATCCGTATTTTGCATTGGAAGTACGAATACTTTGACTGCAACTTATAATTGTTGACTGGAGAATTGTTCAGTTGAAGAAGTACGGAGAATCAAGAACCTTCTCTAAGTCAAACTCACCTCTCTTTGGCAATGAGGGGAAAGCCAATCCTGGATATGTAGACTCGAAGCCCTCGAGCAACTGCCAATAAATCAAAGTTTCATCATGAAAATAGCCTGAGTTTTGTTTGGTATAAAATGAAAAGAAGTTTTGAATTACACGGACAATATATTTTAGAGTGAGTTTTTACTTTCAACTTAGATGTTATCTAGTTTAATATTGGCCAACGATACTTTCATAATAAACATAGCATTCTCTCAATCAACATCTGTAATAGTTTGTAGTGGGATCAGCTGAGCTTTAAGTGCTCCTAGTTCACACGGAGAGTAATTTATACATACAAAGCGAATAAATAAATAGTCAAGCTTGCAACCATAAGAACAGTCTATTTCCAAGATTTAAATTCATGACCTTGTCCCTAGGCAGCAACCTTACAGTCGCCCAAGACTTGACATCAATTCCACCATAATATAAATTTAATTTAAATTTTCAGGCAGTAGAAACCTTCCAGTTCTAGCGCTTGTGTCCTCAACCAAATACCATTATAGCATAAGGCCAAATCCACGACCAATCATGTATTTAAATGGCTGTTAATGAACGTGTGCATATGATGTCTGTCTATTGGCATGTTTCAGAAAAATTAACCACATAGCAAGTTTCTTTTCCTTTGCAGTTTTGCTTTCATTTTACATAATTATATTTTAAATATAGAAAAACATCGTTTCACCCACAATTAAGGCCAACTGAAATTTGTATATGCTTGATAGTGAGAGAAAAAAAAAATAGTTTTATTCCAAGTACTTCAAGAAAGTAAGCATACAATTCTTGAGCCAGAGAAAGTACTTACATTTTCAAGTATGGGCATGTTATAAAGCTCCACAAATTTTTCTCTCAGAATTTGATTCATTTTCTCAACGTCGCAAGGGTGGGTCCAAAATGAATCATGAACCCCTGCAACAATAATTTCACAATAATTAAGCACTAAGATATCACTTCTTAACAGACATTTCTTCTACAGACACTGGCCCCAGCCCCTCCAAATTTATCGAAGTTCAGCTTAGAATGTGAATAAATGTAAATATATTTATAGAACCTGAAAGCTAAAACGGGTTTTTTATTCATAAAAATGGATTAAGGTAAGATATTTTGTGTTATTGGTATTTTACAGATTAGATGTCTTGAGCATTTCAATTGCAAGTTGATTCAACCACGGTTTCAAGAACTTTTGTATACTCACTATTCAGAACACATTTAATGAGACTGTTGAGAATCAGAACAGCATATTTTGTTTGCTAAAGCTATGTATTATTTATTTTAGAGGGAAAAATATATCCTCTCTCTTCATGCATAACTGATGTAATGAGTCTATATAAAGTCATATACGCTGTATGTTCCTACACACGGTATACAGTCTAATGTATGTTCACTATTTTAACAAAGACAAATTCAAAGGAATGAGTTACTCGAAACTAGATATGACGAAAAACCAATGAGTACAAACCTCAGTGATGTAAATTTTAATTATGAACAAAGG